ATGAGAGAAGCCTGGAAACTGACTTCAGCTTTTAAATATCTACTGTATTTACAAATATACAAATACAATATCGAGAGACACATAGAGGCAAGAACTGTGAGGCAGCAGATACTCCCTTCCATCTCAAATCCTGCAAAGGAACTGCTTTTCTAGGAAGCTTTCAGACAATACGCAGCTGATCTTTTTTTCCAAAAAGAAAGAAGCAACTGTTTTGTCTTTTCCTGTGTCAAGTTTCATAATCGAACGCTTCATTTGGTAGACTATGACAAAGTGCAGACAGATCATGGCAGAATTGGGTAATAAAGCTGAATGAGCGTATCAGGAGATTTCAATCCTAGCAGAGCAGGGTAAATTATTAACAGCATAAAGAACTACAGTTCTAGATACCAATATCAGGGAAACTAGATAAGTATGTTCTAATCCAGAAAATGTTACGTATTTAAGGTTGATCTTCTCCCTTGACCATATTTGTGTGTTCAATTTAGAACAGAATCTCAGTGACTGGCCCAGCGAACGACAATTGAATTGACTGCAATCTATGGTTTCCATTTACATCGGAACTTTTTTTTTTTTTTGGCAAGAAAAGAATGTTATGCAGTAGCAAAACCATGATACAAAACCAGATTTGACTCCACAAATGATAGGTCTATTAACTTTATCTAACGCAATATATAAACTTTATGCCGGATTTTTATGCCTAAAATTAGTGGGTTGGGCACCAAATGAAAACAGTGTTGTTGAAGAACAGGCAGGGTTTAGAAAGATATTGGGTTTTCCGCCACTTGGTAGAAAAATATTCCGTGCCTCAGTGGTGGGATTCAAATAATTTAACAACCATTCTCTGCCCTAATGACCAGCTGGGTAGGCGTGGCTTGGTGGTCATGTGACCATGTGGGCATGGCCAACTCAACGTCACTCACGTCGATGGGCGCTTCACCTGAGCTGTTACAATGTAATAAGGGTTAACCAGAGAGGCAGTTTCTGTAAGCAGGGCAATAAAGGTTAGGCTAGAAACAACACCAGAACGTTTCCTTCCTCCCTTCCTTACAGGATTAGCCCTGCAAAGTTGAAAAAAACATAATAAGATTTCTTCCAACGATCGGTTCCCCGAACTGCTTAGAAGGTTAACAACCGGTTCTCTCGAATAGGTGCGAACTGGCTGAATCCCACCACTGCCGTGCCTCCTTATGGTTCCCCTTTTGCAACCTTTATTGATTTTTAAATCAGCTTTTGACCCAATACCAAGTGAGAAATTGTGGGAAAGTCTGGGACGTTTCCCTATTGACCAAAGGCTGCCTGGGTTTATTCGGTGTGAGAGTAAACAAGGCCATGGTACTGTTTGTCTAAATTTTTACCTAAAATAATTTTTTAAAAATCCCAACTGGTGGGTGGCCACTGCTGTAGCATCCTTATCTACATTCATAGATCAGACTGGTCATGTCCCAAAAGAAATAATAATCCCAATTTATAAAAAATGTCAATAAGAACAATGGTCTTTTTTTTGAGTGTTATTAGCAAATAGCTAGACATGCTAAATTACAAGCTCCAGAACTGGATAGAGACAAAGGGCATAATCCAAGATGAGCAAGCAAGGCAGGGGTGAAATCCAGCAGGTTCTGGAGAACCGGTAGCGGAAATTTTGAGTAGTTCGGAGAACCGGCAAATACCACCTCTGGGTGGCCCCGGAGTGGGGTGGGAATGGAGATTTTGCAATATCCTCCCCCCAGGAGTGGGGAGGGAATGGGGATTTTACAGTATCCTTTCCTTCCCCTGGAGTTGGGTGGGAATAGAGATTTTGCTATATCCTTTCCCCAGGAATGGGGAGGGAATGGGGATTTTACAGTATCCTTTCCTTCCCCTGGAGTGGGGTGGGAATGGAATTTTACAGTATCCTTCCCCCAGGAGTGGGGAGTGAATGGTGATTTTACAGTATCCTTTCCTTCCCCTGGAGTTGGGTGGGAATAGAGATTTTGCTATATCCTTTCCCCAGGAATGGGGAGGGAATGAGGGATTTTACAGTATCCTTTCCTTCCCCTGGAGTGGGGTGGGAATGGAGATTTTGCAGTATCCTTCCCCTGCCATGCCCACCAAGCCATACCACACCACAGCATGCCCACCAAGCCACGCCCACAGAACCGGTAGTAAAAAAAAATTGGATTTCACCTCTGAAGCAAGGTCATTGGTTTAGATCTGGATTTAGAGAAGAGAGGCCAGCAACAGGCGCGAGAGCATGGTGCGCCACCGTTTTGTACAAAAACACACTGCATAAAAAGAAATCCTCCTTGGCAAATTTTAAACATGGCTTTGACTCAATTTCCAGGAATGCAACTAATGCAAATAAAGACCGGCACCTCTGCTTTCTGACAAAGAAATTATACTCCCAACACTACTTTTAAGAGGTCCAAGATCTAAGGATCCTTCTCTGGCACACTAAATGTTCAGAAAGGAGTGAGACAGGGATGTAGTCTTGTCTCCTCTTCTTTCAACTCGTATTTTCAGTTCAAGGGTGGACCTTCATAATCCAGACTTGCATGCACCTAAACGAGTAGGTGGAAAATCCCTCTCTATTCCTCTACTCTACGCTGCTGCCAGAATTTCACAAACCCTTAAGAGGACGGAAAATAGCAATAGTAGCAATATTTTGGGACTGCAGAACAAAATCCCCTGGTTCTTAATTCCGAGACGTTTAATATTATGATCTTCGCTAAGAGAGCCATCCAACAATCCTGGAGAATAAGGGGATCACAAGTTAGAATGGGTTACGGTATTTGAATGCCTTGGGCCCTGAAGGCACTTGGAAAGGGCAGCTAGCGGTTAGGTCAGAGGTGCAGGGGTGCGCTGCTGGGCGTTCGCACGGGTTCGGAAGAACCTCTAGCTAAGATTCTGTGCAGTTGGGAGAACCCCCAAATCCCACTACCGGCTGCCCCCCCCTGCTCCTCCCCTCTCAGGAGTCCCCACGCGACCTATTTTGGATGCAGGTAAGTACAGGGTGCGCGCGGAGGCTCGGGGAGGGCAAAAAACAGGCATACCGGAAATTCAGGAAGGCCAGAAACAGGCCCATTTCCAGTCTCCAGAGCCTGGGGAGGCTGTTTTCGCCCTCCTGGAGGCTCAAGGAAAGCCTCTGGAGCCTGGGGAGGGCAAAACCCTGTAGTACAGTGGACTAAGCACTGTTACACCGCTGCTTGCAATTACTGCAAGTTCAAATCTCACCAGGCTCAAGGTTGACTCAGCCTTCCATCCTTTCAAAGGTAGGTGAAATGAGGACCCAGATTGTGGGGGCAATAAACTGACTTTGTATAAATATACAAAAGTATGTAGGCTATTGCTTAACGCATTGTAAGCCGCCCTGAGTCTCCGGAAAAGGGCGGTATATAAATTAAAGCAAAAAAAAAAAAAAAGCCCCTCACCATGGTGCAGGAGGCCAACTAGGCCACGCCCACCATGGCCACGCCCACACAGCAACTGGGCAGAGAACCCCTTGCTAAAATATTTGAAGCCCACCCCTTCAGAGGTGGGGAACTACGCCCCTTTTATGACTGGTGGACTTCAGCTCCCAGAATTCCAGAGCCAGACACAATTAATCCCGGCAGCATTCCGGCTAAACCAACTGGCCCAAATCCTTTACAGGGCAGATAGATAGAAATGTATACCAAAAAGCAGCCCTGGAAACAGTGCAAGGAACATTTTTGAGACCAGTTCTTATTGCACCCAATGGAACCGCAAACACCTAATTAAGGCTTGAGACAGGAATGCCACAAAATCCAGGTAAGGGCTTGGAGGAGGAAGATAAAACTATTGGTTGAAAATCCAAATTCCTTCCAGTCGGATCGACCCTTTTGGTTTCAATCATTTCCCTTCTTTCTGGAAACAGTCCACAGAGCAGAAGTTGGCATTATATGAGCTTTCGGTTCCACGATATGACCACGCAAAGCAATTGCTGAAAGACAATAAGGCAGTGCTTCTTAACCTATGGTCCACGGACTCCTGGGGAGCCATGATGTTATATCACAGGGGGCTCTGCGAAGGCTTGAAAAAAATGTTACGATTTAAATCTTGAGGGTCCGTGGCCACAAAATCTATTTAAAGAGGGGGCCCGTGGTGAAGAAAAGGTTGAGAACCACTGGAATAAAGATGTGGCATTTCAGACGGAAATCTGGCAGAAAAGAGAACTTTTCAAAATCTGACTTTCCCCAAACCGAGGATGGCATTTTTCAAAGCCAGGCATAACATCTGCCCATCAGCACTGCTGCAAGATACTCCAAAAACCCATTAATTGAGCATACCGGCCAATGTGGCCACAAAGAGATCAAAATCCTGCAGCCCTCTGCCAGCGAAAACGGAGCTCGGAAGGGCTGCACGCTCCATTTTCGCTGGCAGAGGGCTACCACAACAAACTAAAAACAAAACAGAAGGAAAAATGTTTCCCCTTTTGCATTTGAGCATGCAAGAAGGGATAGGAAAGGAGAAAGGGAAAGACAAAGAAAAAGAAGAAAAGATGGGAAGAGAGCAAGGAAGGAAAAAGAAGGAAAGAGAAGAAGAAAGGAGAAGGAAGGGAAGGGAAGGGGAAGGAAGGAAGGAAGGGTTATAATGAGAGGCAGGAGGGGTCTGAGGGAAGTCCTGCCTTAGCACTTGGCCACCACAGATGCCCCCAACACGAGTGATGTTGAGCTGGCCATGCCCCCCCCCCCGGAGGTCCCCCCCGAGATCAAATACAACCCTGATGCAGCCCACAATGAAATCAAGTTTGACACCCCTGCTCTAAGGGATATTACGCCTGCATATAGTCTGCCCTTAGTAAGTAAATTTATGCTTTAAGTCACCCAGAGTCACTTCGAAGCAAGATGAGTGGTAAATAAATGTAATAAATAAAAATAAAATAAAAAGTTCCAGGAAGACCAGACAATTTCTGTATGAACCATGCTCTACGAAATTTGTAACCGGTTATCACCTATGCAATAGCCAAGTTCCGTATTGCTGCAATGAAAATAAGGCAGAACTGGTTATGGAAATATTTTTTTTTGTTTTATTTACCATTTTTAGATTTAACACATACTAGCTTATCTTGTTTATAAGATGGTATTTATTTTACTGCATTGTGTGCCCTGCGACAGAGGTACGCTTGTACAAGGGATTAATGTACCATTAGAGCAGCCACATTTTTATCTGTGTTGGTTTCACCTTTTCTATTTTACGATGGTGTTGTAATTTTTTTAAAAACTTTTTTTTCCTGGTCATTGACCAAATAAACATTATTATAAAACAGTCTCTCCAGTTGAAGGGGGTGGAGGGGAGAGTGGCCTGAAACTGGGAAGGGCTGGAAGAGCTGCAATTCTCAGTTCCTGTTCTCTCTTTGAAGGCAGCTACAGGAAGAAGAGTTTCTCACACAGCTCAATTGATGGTTCGTGATGGAGAATGTGCCCGGAGAGAAAAGCTAGCTTATGCGCGTATTTGCACGGGGCAGGCACTCGGATAGTTCCTGGCCAATTCCAGTAGAGGTGGCAAAGTTTGAAAGTCAGCCTATGAAAAAACAGGAATGCGAGAAGGAAATTCTGGATTAGAATGCCTGCTTCTCTAACCTGGATCCATAATGTGTTTCTATGATGCGTTGATAAATCCCTAAACTCGCAATATATTCCAATCAATATCAGTTCTTAAATGCTGCAAGGGAAAAACTGATGGATTCCCCTTCATTTCTTGGATTTTACTTTACCCCTTTTGCAAAGGAAATTCCTCACTCCATCCAGAAAGAAAATGATACATAAACACCTTCGTCCTGCTACAAGCTTGAGAAGAAAAATATTAGCCAAAGAACTGCATGGAGGCCGCGGGAAATTAGGCAACTAGCAGTTTTGGGCCATCCCATCATCTTGCAAAGAAAGGCATAACGCAGCTGGAGGCTCCCCTCCCAGGCAATTTGCTTCTTAAACCAAGAAGTAAGAAAGTCATAATTTCTTTCATTCAAGTAGCTGTCCTGAATATGAAGCAAAGCTGTACACACAATGGTTTCTAAGAAAGTATTAAAAAACCCATGAAACAAAATCCTAACTTCCATAATTGCCATTCCAACATCCTTTTGCTGTATTCAGCACTTCCTGCTTTGTTTAGGTATTCATTAGACTCACATTCTGCCTCCTGTACAAATGAGAAAGCAAAATCTGAAACCGAGGATATCATAACACTCACCTCTGCATGTGATCAGGGGCGAGATTGGCTGTATTTCTTACACAGACGTAGTGAGTTGGGATGCCGCAACCTTGAGGCGAGTAGTGGGCTATCAAGTAAAAATCCACCCTAACAAGAAAGAACCAAAGGGAAAAAGAACAGAGTTGAACCTCTATCAACTTCATCGTCAGCAAAGAAAAGAATTACCGTATTTTTCAATCTGTAAGACACACTTCCTCCCCCCCCCCCCCGTTGGGTGGAAATGTCTGACTGTCCTTTGATCCCCCCGCCCCCCCCTGGCCCCCACCCTTCGGCCTCTGTCTCCCAACAATTTGCCTCTTTGCAGCAAACAGCCTGGTCAGCTTCAGCACAGCCTGATTTAGCACGAGCAGCTGATTGGCAGTTGGATCGGCCTCCCGGAATACCGCTGATCAGCTGCTCCAGGCTGCGGGGATAGCCGCCATCCATCGCCGTCTCCACGCACTCCATTTTTGTCCCCTGCATGCTCCATTTTCGTCCTCCGGGTGTCCTGTTTTTTGGCCTGTTCCAGGCGGCAGTGATTACCACCACCTTTTGCCGCCAAACAGTGGTGGGGTGATCCCCACCTGGAATGGGCCACAAACAGGATGTGTGGAGGACGAAAATGGGGTGTGCGGAGGTGGCGACGATGGATGGCGACGGTGGCGATCCTCGCAGCCTGGAACAGCTGATTGGTGATATTCCGAGAGGCCGATCCAACTGCCAATCAGCTGCTCGTACTAAATCAGGCTGTGCTGAAGCTGACCAGGCTGTTTGCTGCAAGGAGGCAGAGGCAGATTTTTTTTTCTTGCTTTCCTCCTCAAAAGCTAGGTGCATCTTATGGTCCAGAGCGTCTTATAGTACAAAAAATACGGCAAGTCTTGATTTTTTATAACCTTCAAAATGGAGGCCTGGAGCAAAAGGGAATACCTATGATTGCTATTTAAATTGGCAAGCCAAGATATGGGAAACACCTCTGAACAATCCAGACAGGGATTCCAATAGTTTGGGATAATTTTAAATGCTGGGGCACAGCTTCCCATGTTGTACATGGGGTGGGGGTGGGGAGAAGGAACAATGATCACTCTACTGAGTACCAGCCATCAATTCTATACAACACTGGGGAGATTTTCAGAGTACAAAACCCAAGAGAACCAACACGATGAGACCGGTCTACAGGCAACACCCACATAAGTATTGAAAGGCTAGTTCTTCCTGCTCACTACTCCACTCTTCCCCAGTTCTGCTACAGCTCTCACTACTGCTCTTCCACTACTACTCCTTATGAGTCCTACTGCTGGATAAGAGTATCTTACTATTTGCCTTAGGCTGCTTCAGGCTTTATTTCCATCAAAGAACACAAAGTGACTTCCCTCTCACTGGAACATCCCCCCACCTGCTTTTATTTTATGTTCAGCTTTTATTGCCACTAGTCATTCTATAGTTTATAGTTTACTTTATTGTCATTGCACATGGTACAACGAAATTAAATGCCGTCTTCGGTGTCCATTATAACTATAAAAACACAAACATACACCCTTTACGTTCTATATAATTGAAATTGAAAACCCGATATTGCACTATGCCGTAGAATTCAATATGGTTACTGCTCTGGGGTAGAAGCTGTTTTTCAGCTTATTTGTCCTTGTTTTTATTGTCCTGTACCGTCTGCCAGATGGTAATAGTTCAAACAAAAAAAAAAAGGGTGCCCAGGATGAGATGGATCTTTAAGAATGTTTTGAACTTTCTTAAGGCAGCGGGAGCTATAAAGCTCTTCTGTTGATTAGGGAGAGGTTTCAAAGGGACAGGGGCAACAGCAGCTCCAACAGTTCTCCCTCCCTCCTGCTCATGACAACTTGAAAGCTTTGCAAGTTGACACTCAATAGGTTCTGGCCATTTTGCAGGCAGCCTGCCCTATCACCTTGATAGATGACCGTCTCAGTTCGGGAGACATCCCACATGGGGATGTGTTTAGCGTACAGTATAAAAAAAGACTATAGATAAAACAAAGCTGGCAAAAGGACCGTGCCATGGCCGATTCTGATCACCAGGAAATAGGATATTTTTAGTTGAGGGGGAAACACCTAGAGATGCATCTAACAGAGTTGGAAGGGATCTTGGAGGTCTTCTAGTCCAACCCCCTACTCAAGCAGGAAACTCTATAGTACAGGAGTGTCAAACTCGATTTCATCAGGGTTGTGTTTGACCTCGGGGGGGGGGGGCGTGGTCAGGGTGGGCATAGCCAGCTCAACCTCACTCATGTTGGGGGTACCTGCGGTGGCCCAAACACTCTGCCAATGAAAACGGGCTCCTGAGTTCCGTTTTCACCTGCAACCCTCTGCCAGTGAAAACAGAGCATGGGAAGGCTGCCCACAGCCCTTGTGAGTGTCAAGTTTCCGAAAGATGCCCTAATTAATTCATGAGCCATGATCCAAACTTCAAAGGAAATATAGTCATTTATTAGGAGCAACATTCAGGCAATACTGGGATGCTGTTAGAACTGATCCCACGTAGATTTATGTTCCCCTATGACCCTGTCTCTCCCCTCCTCTCTGGCCATGTCACAAATCACATTCTCCAATGAACCACTTTGGCTGGCTGTGAAACCTAACACCCTCCTTCTGATTGTGGTCAGGAAGAATGTATGGAATTCACTTCAGTTCTCCCTCCCTCCTGCTCATGGCAACTTGAAAGCTTTGCAAGTTGACAGTGAGCTCCGTTTTCACTGGCAGAGGCACATGGGGCTGGTCCTTCACTGTTTCCAGGGCGACCCCGAGGGCCAGATCTAAGCACCCCGCAGGCCGGATCTGGGCCCCGGATCTTGAGTTTGACACCCCTGCTGTAGCATTTCAGACAAATGGTTGACCAATCTCTTCTTTAAAAACTCCAGGGTTTGCATTAACTGCAAATCAAGAGCCTTGATAGTACAGTGGTTTAGTGCACCCTGTTATTAACACAGCTGTCTGCAATTACTTGCTGGTTCGAATCTCTCCAAGGCTCAAGGTTGACTCAGCCTTCCATCCTTTCTAAGGTAGGTAAAATGAGGACCCAGATTGTGGGGGCAATAAGATGACTTTGTATAAAATATACAAAAGAATGAAGGCTATTGCTTAACGCACTGTAAGCCGCCCTGAGTCTCCGGAGAAGGGCGGCATATAAATCAAATTTAAAAAAAATAAAATAAAAAATAAAAAGCTGTGTCTATAGGGCGGAAAATGTTTTTTTTTTTTAATCATAGAGGAAAGGAGAAAATACAAAGACTTTAAACTCCCAATGTCTATGGAGATTCTCAGTGATCCAGGTCATGATTGTCCCAAAGGTGCTCTTTTTGTTTTTGTTTTTTCTACAGGCAACTGGGCTTTCCGGTTTTTTTCTTTGAAGATGTTTCACTTCTCATCCAAGAACCTTTTTCAGCTCCAAAGCGCCTTTGGGTTTAAACTCCCCACTTCCCAGCAGCGGTTTCCAGAAGTCACTCAGAGATCGGGGGGGGGGGGGAGTGCTGGGTGAAAGCTTTTTTTACTCACCAGTCCTGAGAGGTGGCTGTATGGTCTAACACCGTCCCTGGAGGAGGAGATAAAAGTTGTTGACCGACTGAGGAATAGATGTTGGTGCTGATTTGTTTCTGAACCACAAACACCACGATTTTAGGGTTGTAATTATTAAAAGCTTCAAAGCATTTCTCCAGCTGTGGGATTTCGTAGCTTTCTACTATTTTCAGCTGGCCATCTGAGACGCCATCTCTATAAATCACTATCTTCTCCGGGAGATGATGGTTGACCTTCGAGAGAACAAACATTCAACAATCAGAAAGAGCTAATATCAGCTCATATCTAGATTTGATCCAGGAAATTACAACGGTTTCTTGCTCAAAGTGAAACCGGTTCCCTCTTTTCTTCTGCCTGATTTGTTTCCACCCGTTGCTTCTTGTCCTGCCTTCAGGTGCTTTGGAGAATAGCTTGACTGCCTCTTCTTTGGGGCAGCCCCTGAGATATTGGAACACTGCTATCATGTCACTCCTGGCCCTTCTTTTCATTAAACTAAACATACTCAATTCCAGCAATCGTTCTTCATATGTTTTAGCCTTATTTATGACCTTTGCTATATCCTGGGGTCATATGATCCCCTTTCGCGAATTTCTAACCAAGCAAAGATTCACTTAACAACTAAATTACTAATTTATCAACGACAATGATTCGCTTAACAACTGTTGTGACCTAGGCTTACTGAGTCATTCATTACAATACACAATTAGTCCCCAAAAAACCTATTTTACTGTAACAGCTGAGAATTATGTTCATTCCCAGATGAGCCCCAATTAGTTGCAAAAAAAGTCCTTTGGAAGAAATCCTTCCGGATTATCACCAACCTTTATCTTTTTTGACATATCTATCTATCTTTCCAATATTGCCAAAGGCCTTATTTGGCAAAGCCCCATGAAGTTCAGAAACAAACAAGAGATGCCGACTGGAAATAGAGTTAGCAATGTTGCTTTCCTACAAAAGGCCCAACTGCCTTTGTTTTTCTTTTAAGCCTTATGGGAGGGGTCAATCATCTCCTGGCCTTACTCCAGAGTCGTCCTTTTTCCTTTAGCTGCTCTTGCCTTCTGGCAGCTCTGCGCATGCGTGCACTAGGAACAGGTTCCTCCTGTTCCTCTGCCTCTCTGCTGTCTGACTCTGTGGGCTCCAGAGTCCGCGCATCATTCCCAGATGGACCTGGCTCCATCTCTAGCTCCGATGCAGAGCCTTCGTCCGGGCCTTCCCCAGCCTCCGGGACTGGCCCATGTTCCTCCCCAGCCTCCTCAATGTCTGACTCTGCTGCCAGCTCCGCAGGCTGCTGGCGAACCACAACAACAACTGTCACAAGGAAAGTCGTAAAATAGGGGCAAAATTTACATAACAAATGTCTCACTTAACAGAAATTCTGGGCTCAATTATGGTCATAAGTTGAGGACTACTTGTAAAGACAGCACAATGAAACAAACATACCTTCCCCCAAAAATATGCAAAACTGTTAATCTTCTCTATAAATTCCAGAGAACTGGAAAATAATAAGTTCATTTCTCACCTCGTGGAATTTCTGCAAAGCAGCTACTAAACAGACCTTTAGGCTATCTATTATTTCTTGATGAGGCGTCTGAAATACCACCCTGGAATACCATCGTGTCACAATTCTGGTGGCAGAAAAGGAAATGATATTAATCATGTTAATTCAAAGCATAAAGCCTCACAATTCAACATTAGGTCACATTTTTATTTTTGGAAAGAGTTAGCTTTTCAGAGCCATCATAGCCTTGGAATCTTTTTAACACCGTAACACTTAAATAATAATTTGCTTCAATCTGGAGGGATAGAGAAGGTTTTTTTTTAAAAAAAAAAATGCTGCGAAAGGAATCCAAGCAATTCTATAAACCCAATGAAAATAATGGAAAAGCTAGAAAAAAGTTTGAATATTTCTGCCGCTCATTTTAAAATTAGGCAAAAGTCTCCCTTACCCCCTTCATCCAATATGATCCTCAGTCCCTTTCTGCTTATTGATTATCAAGTCCATATATACCTGCCTTCCACTGAGCACCTGTCTACTGCACAAGTCAAAAAGAGGGCTATGAAAATATCTACAGACCCCTCATATCTTGGACATAAATTGTTTCAACTTCTACCCTCAAAACAACGCTATAGGGCCCTGCACACCAGAACAACTAGACACAAGGACAGTTTTTTCCCTGAATGCCATCCCTCTTTTAAACAACTACTTCCCACAACACTGTTGAACTATTTACTAGGACTGTATTACTATTATTCTTCTCATCCTTCCTACTCCCTATCTCCTTTTCTACTTATGACTATAACTTTGTTGGTTGTATCTTTACAATTTGTATTGTTTTATTTAGTGACCTAGTATGATTTGATTGCTTGTTTAGTATCCTATGACTATCACTAAGTGTTGTATCTCATGATTCTTGACGAATGTATTTTTTTTATGTACACTGAGAGCTTGTGCACCGAAGACAAATTCCTTGCATGTCCAATCACACTTGGCCAATAAAGAATTCTATTCTATATAGATCTTTTCCATGATCTTCTGTCTTGCAGGTTTCCCAACGGTGCCCTCATCACCAGAGTAACCGAGTCCATCCATCTTGCTGTTGGTCGTCCTCTTCTTGTTTACCCTTCCACCTTTCCCAGCACCAGAGCCTTTTGCAGAGCTCTGGATCTTCACATCATGTGTCCACAGTAGGATAATTTGAGCTTGGTCGTTTGTGCCTTGAGTAAGAATTCTCTTGACTCCACCGATTTGTTCAATGGTCCCTCGGTTTGTTTTCTTTGCTGTCCATGATATTCTCAGGAGTTTTTCCCCAACATTAAAGTTCAAAAGCACCAAAATGGCTCCTATCTTGCTTCTTTAAAATCCAACTTTCACTTTCATAATGTCATAGGGAATATCATGGCTTGCATGACTCTGATCATTATAGGTATAGAGGCATTGTGGCATCTGAATAGCTTTCCCAGGGCTGCCTTAACTGCTCCACTAAATGCTGTATATTTCTTGACTGCTTGTTCCTTTACTGTTGGTGGTTGGGCCTTACAGGCAGAAACTATCCATTATTTCAGTATCTTCATTGTCAGTTCTACCTGTCATTATCGATCTTCTTTAAATTGGTGGTCTTCTAATTTAATGTTAGTCCCAAATTTTCACTGTGTTCTTTGTCTTTTAGTACTTCTGTAGGTCTTTTGCATTTTCCACCCGGCCTCTTTATTTCCTCCATAGGAAAACAAAAGGAAGGAAGGAAAATTCTCCCCAACCCCGTGCAGTCAGTGGCTCCTGGGAAATGATCAGGATTAAGACCTTCTGTAACTGGTTCCATATCCAAGAAAAGAGAGAGAAGACGGAGGACTTTCTTTATGAAGTCAGGTGTCAGGCCTGGAAGCCATCTTTTACATTGGGCCTTCAGGCCTGCCACATTTTCTACTGTGGGAAAATGGATGGGGGAATTGTATGGAGTATGGGAGATATATAGTCAAAATAACATTCTTTTCTCAGAGAGTCAAGGACACCTTGCCCTGGCACCTGGAGTCAGATGACTGGGAGGCATCTCCAGTTGGGATGGTGCTTTGATTGGACCATGTAATGGACATGTGGGTGTTGGGCAGGGACTTGAACTTTCACTTGGTTGGAGAAAACCTGGAAACTTTCAGATTCGGGTTTTCCCAGAGGTGCCAATATGACATCTCTAATAAAATGGATCTTTGAGGAATCTCGAGCCTCGGAGTCTTCTTTCGTTGGGGGTGTTACTTGGAACCCTGACAGTCAGCTGATGAGCAGATGGTGGAACACTAGGGAGACGGGTGGAGAAGAAGGCTGAGCAGGTGAATCTGTGAATTAAGCTTAGCTCAGAAATAAGCCAAGCTGCTTCCTAACTTTTGACATGAAGGATATTGCTTTCAAATAATAATAATAATAAAAAAAACCGGAATATATAAATCATCATATTTTTTCTTCAAGACTAGAAATATCAAATACTTGGAAATCAGCCTTCAGAGCTGAAGAAGCTTCTTGGATGAGAAGCAAAACATCTTCACAAAAAAAAAAAAAAAAAAAAAAAAAAAAAAAAGTCCAGTTGTCTCTTGAAAAAAAACCTTTCGGACAACCACGATCTGGATGGCTGAGAATCTCCACAGCTATTCAGCCATTCTATGTGAACTTAAGCAAGGGCCCATAGATCTGTATGTCAAAAAGTTTTTTAAAAAAGGGGGACACTTACGGATTGATACTTGCCACAAAGCCCACCACTGAGCGCTTCCCCCTGCTGGGATCATGATACACGTCTATGCCAATCACCATTAGCTGTTTCTGGAAGGAAGGACAAGGTATTATATTCTCCATTTGTTTTATTTATACCTGCATTTTTTTTTTTATAAACAACTCGAGGCAGTGGATGTACCTCATTCTCCTTCTGAAGACCTTTTTATTCCATCAGGCGGGCTTGGCCTAATCTCTTCCCTTTTTTAAATATGTAAATTTTAATCTGTTTTTAAATTATTGGAGTGTTTTAATCTGTCTGGGCCAAAATGATTTAATTTGATTTTATCTGGTTTTTAAATTTTTTGTATCTATGTATTTTATTGTTTGGCTGTTCACCGCCCTGAGTCCTTCGGGAGTAGGGCGGTATACAAATCAAATAAACTAAACTAAACTAAAACTTTCTACTTTCCCCACAACAACAACAACCCTGTGAAATAAGTTGGGCTGAGACAAAGAGACCTGTCTAAAGTCACCCAGCTGGCTTTTGTGTGTAAGGTAGGACTAGAACTCACGAGTCTCTAAGCCTGGTGTTTTAACCATTGAACATAAGGGTGCTTTTTCAAAAGGCAACTGGACTTTGGGGTTCCCCCCCCCTTCAAAACATTTCGCTACTCATCCAAGAAGATCCTTCAGTTCTTGGATGAGAAGTGAAACATTTTCAAGGAAGGGGGAAAAAAAAACAACACCAAAATCCAACTGCCTCTTGAAAAAGCACCTTTGGGCCAACCATGGCCCGGATGATAGCTCCCTCTTGTGCATCCAACTTGAGAATACAGGAGGGAAAACAGTAAGCAAGCAAGCTGGCATGTCATTTCTAACCTTAATAGAGGCTTGCAAAACAGCAATCTCTCTCCTGCTGCGCTACTTTTGGGGCCGCTGATCTCTGCACAGTACTGAGCACTTGCCTTTATAGCATGGGAGTTTCCCCGTGGCTCAGCCATAGTTCAAATTAATCTTGACTTCTGGTGACTACAATAAGAGTGCACCTCCCCTTTGTTATCACCTTTCATAAAAGGACCATGACAAGATATTTTCACCCTAACATTTTTGGTATGATGCAATAAATAACTTCCTTTCTACTCAAATACATTAATGTGTTATCCATTTTCTTAAGCATAAGCACTTCCGGCAGTAACATTTCTACTTTTAACATTCCAAGAGAAAGCTCTCTTCTGTAATAGCAATAACACTTAAGACTTATATACCGCTTCACAGTGCTTTACGGCCCTGTCTAAGTGGTTTATAGGGTCAGCGTATTGCCCCAAACAATCTGGATGCCAAGAGTCGGTTATATGTTCCAATTAATAGATCCATAGAAAGCAAAAGTACCGAGGTAGGCAAATTCCTCAAAGGATAGCTTTATTGGAAATATCATATTGGCACATATCTGGTAAAAAACGACTCTAAAGGTTCCCGCAGTTTTCACCTAGTTAAAAGAGAAAGTTTTTCCCAAACCCAAAACAAGCAGTCACATGGTCCAATCGAGACGCTGTCTGGTCGTCTGGAAACATCTCTCCTTCCACGGTCCTTGGTTAGAATGACCTTGGTTCTCAAGAGAAAGTATTTTGTTTTGGCTACACAAACCCCTCTATCTCTAATCCCCACTCCCTGTCCCTCAGCTCCAGTGCGGCAACACTGAAGCTCCAATATGGCTCCGGTTGGGTCAACTTCAGGACTGACACTGGGCCCTCCTTTTACCAAACTTAGAAGGCTGAGCTGATGAGAATCGAACTGCTGGCAGTGGCAGAGTTAGCCTGCATTACGGCATTCTAACCCCTGCACCACCATTGCGTAACCCAGAAAAGATTCCCAGTTCCAATTTTTCATCACGTTCTTATACTGTCCGCTGTATTAGAAGGGGCAATCCAAGCCATCCCCTGTTTTGTGCAGAAGTTGGAATCTTAAGAATCTTTTCTATAACCTGGTTTAATCCACAGACACCGTATTTCTACTCTACAAAAAAGGGATGATGGTTCTGATCATTTGGAAAGAAAAAGGTTGTAAAACTGGCTAATGGATTATTTATTTATTTTATTTAATTTATATACCGCCCATCTCCAACAGGGCTCAGGGCGGTGAACAGCCATAGTAAAACATAACACATAAAATTTAAAAGCTGTTTAAAAACATTAAATAATTTTGGCTATCCATTTAAAACAACCCGGGTTAAAACCAATTACAAATTAAAATCGAAGGGATGGGATCAAGCCAGCCCGGCTAGGTGAAAAAGATGTGTTTTCAGGGCCCGACGAAAAGTCCGGAGGTCGGGTATCGTGCGTATCTCTGGGGGATATGCACGATATCTTATGGGCTTCTGTCTGATGCTCACATCAGAAATGTGACAATTGTTGCCATTGGTTTGTCACTCTTGATGCGTAAGTAATTGTTCTTAAAATATTACCAGGAGTGGTGAATGCTAGGATTAAGGCTGATATTAATGTGTTTTAAACGTTATCAGCTGAATTCTTTGGTGGGATGCTTTGTACATCTTCACTTTCTTTTGGAAACAGCATCTTATCCAAGCAAACTGTAAGAGGACAGAAATGACCTACTGTTCTCCACCTGAGATTATAACATATTATTTTCAAGGCTCTCAACCTCCATTAGGTCATAATTAAGTGAAGGGGGCTGTCTAGAGAAGTGAAAGGAACTGAAAAAGATGGGTATTAATGGTGCCACTTAAAGAACACAAGTATTCATACATAAAATAGGCAACATTATTTTAGAGAATTATTATTTTTACTGAATTAAGCTTCACTGAAGAGAAATAATGTCAGTATTGCTTACCAATGGAATGTCCACACCCCACAGCTCTCCACCTAGCTTGCAATTAATTTGCAACAGAATCTTCTGTGCTATACTTCTAAGTTTAGCATATTGTGTTGAAATGGTTCGGACATTAATAACCTGTAGCAATTAATGATTAGAATTAGTAAATGCCCGGGCAAGAAACAAATGTTTCTCTTTCAACAATTCTCAGTTTGATTATTGAATAACCTATGTTTTAAACCATTCCACTTTGAGCTTAATTTCATACCCTAATGCTTTCCTGACTTTATCAGAAGGGTTCTAACTTCAAAATAGCCCCCTTTTGAACTTGAAACACTTCCACTAAAACCAGAAGGGCATTGAAATATTTCTTATGGAGTTAGAAATACCCCTTTCAAAAGTAAAAATGGTTGAAATTCCATATTTTCCACATCTAATTCTAAGCTGTGAGTTTTAATATATTTACAAGGCAATAAGAGGTTATTATTGCTTAAAGTAAACACTGTTTTGTTTCCCCCTCACAAAAAAATAAGCCTCTATTCCACAAAAAACATTTTACATATTTCCCAAAATAACACCCTAAAATTATTAACAATATAGGGTTTGACTAAGTTTCCTCCATATTTCTACATTCTAAAAAAAAATCTGATTTTAAAGATCCATTTATTAAACTATTGAATTCGCAATTCGCAATTAAAAGCTAAATATTGTTGACATTCGTTACTAAACATTGACTAATATCTGAACATCATAAACTCTAAATCACTAGAACACAAAACTGTTCAAAGCTCATATACGAACTATGTATATATAAACAGTATAAACTGTTTCCTGTTACACCTAATGTTGGGCCTCAAAGACACATCAGAAGCTCTTCATAAAAACGCAGGTGAGCAAACAAGTAATATCACTATCAACAACCCCCATTCAAGCATTTTTACAGGCTCAAGGAACAGGCAACTATTCGACGTACCTGGGAAGGAACCGGGTTCTGTACATTGCACAGCCTTTTAATGGCCCTGTACAAATCATCTTTATTTCCTGTGATAATACAAACGACTAATTGTATTGATCCCTTAATAAAGAGAAAGGATAGTAAGTAACCAGCTTGCAATAAGATCATTAAATATCAGTATACCTTTCTTGTCACGGTTGTTAAGCGAAGCACCACAGCCGTTGAGTTAGTAACACGAGTGTTAAGTGAACCTATGGATTCCCATTGATTTTGGTTGTCAGAAGGTCGCAAAAAGTGGTCACATGACCCGGGGACGCTGCAGCTGTCATAAATACGAGCCAGTGGTCACAAGCTTATGGGCTTCTCACAATTGTGCGTCTTTGCTTTCTTCCTCCTGCGCCCCCCCTAAACAGCCATCGCCCCCGTGCTGCTGGACGCCTTGACCGACCCATCCCGAAAGACCCAGAAGTGCCTGCAAACTTTGCTGGATACCAAATTTGTCCACTTCATTGATGCTCCTTCTTTGGCCCTCATCATGCCTATTGTCCAGCGGGCTTTTCAGGACCGCTCGACGGACACTCGGAAAATGGCCGCCCAGATCATCGGGAATATGTACTCCTTGACGGACCAGAAGGTAAGCCGGGGAGGAGGAAGTAAAAGATTCCATCTGCTCCCAAATAGGAATTTAAGACATTTCTCCAATTCACTTCTTGCCTTCTGTCTCCTCTCTCCACTTTCTTTCTCTCCCCTCCTTCCCTTCCTGTCCTCTCTCTCTCTCTCTCACTCTCCCCCGTCCATCTCTCTCTCTCCCTCTTTCTCTTCCTCCCTCTCTCTCTCTCCCTCTCCCTCTCATCCCCCTTCCTCTCTCCTCTTCCTCTCTCTCTCCCTCCTCTCTCCCTCCCTCTCCTCTCCCTCCTTCTTCCTCCCTTCCCTCCGTCTCTCTCTCCCCTCTCTCTCTCTCCCTCCCTCTCTCTCTCTCTTCTCCCCCTCCTCCCCCTCTCCCTCTCCCTCTCCCTCCTTCTCTCTCCCTCCTTCTCCCTCCCTCCGTCTCCTCCTCCTCTCTCCCTCTCTCTCTTTCTCCACCCTCCCTCTCTCCCCCTCCCCCCTCCCCTCTCCTCCCTTTCACTCTTCTCCTCCCTTCTCTCTCTCTCTCTCTCTCTCTCTCTCTCCGTCCTCCCACTCCCTCTCCTCCCCTCCCCCCCTCCTTTCTCTCTCTCATTCTCACCCTCTCTCTCCCTCTCTCTTTCCTCCCCCTCTCCTCACCTCTCTCCTCCTCTCACTCTCTCTCAGGATCTGGCTCCTTACCTGCCTAGTGTCACACCTGGATTGAAAACGTCTCTTCTGGATCCCGTGCCTGAGGTCAGTTTGCCTTCCGCTTCTTCGTAGACCACAGCTCCCCGTTTCCAGCTTTGCAGACTGCAAAGGGCATAATTTGCCCAAGCATCCGGCGCGCGTGCACCTCCATTCGCACGAGCGGCGTGGACGAGCGCCTGCCACTCACGCGAATGGAGCGTGTACGTACACAGCTACCCGCTGCTCGCTCGGGTGAGGATTCTCTGCGGGCGGGTCACTCGCTGGCTGTTACAATGGCCTGGTTGCAAACCCCTCACGGCCCACTAGGGGGCCGCGGCCCACAGGTTGGAGACCCCTGTGGTAGATGGCCTATTCCTCCTCCTTACCTTAGCTTTTCTTTTCAACCTCAGGTGCGGACGGTCTCTGCAAAGGCGCTGGGCGCCATGGTGAAAGGCATGGGGGAATCTTGCTTTGAAGACCTCCTGCCGTGGCTGATGGAAACCTTGACGTACGAGCAGAGTTCAGTCGATCGGTCAGGGCTGCGCAAGGTAAGAGGGGCGAGTGGGGGGATTTCACAAGTGGGAGGGGCGCGCTCAGGACATAGCTTTGTACGCAAACCCTACAGGTCCTTATTTTGTTATGAATATTGGGGTTCAGGGTTCTGCTTCTTTGATGAAATGCTTGCAAGAACAAACCTAGGTCCAGGTAGATCTCAACTTATAACAGTTCAGTTGGTGACCTCTTCTCTTCTTTTCTCTTCTCTTCTCTTCTTCTCTTCTCTTCTCTTCTCTTCTCTCTCTTCTCTTCTCTTCTCTTCTCTTCTCCTCTATTCCTTCTCTTCTCTGCTCTGCTCTGCTCTTCTCTTCTCTTCTCCTTCTCTCTCTTCTCTCTCTTCCTCTTCTCTCTCTTCTCCTCCTCTCCTCTCCTCTCCTCTCCTCCTCCTCTCCTCTCCTCTCCTCTCCTTCTCATCCCTCTCCTCTCCTCTCCTCTCCTCTCCTCTCCTTCTATTCTCTTCTCTTCTATTCTATTCTATTCTCCTCTCCTCTCCTCTCCTCTCCTCTCCTTCCTTCCTTCCATTCCTCTCTTCTCTTCTCTTCTCTCTTCTATTCTATTCTCTTCTCTTCTATTTCTCTTCTCTTCTCATTCCTCTCCATTCCTTTCCTTCTCTTCCATTCTCTTCTCTTCTCTTCTCTTCCTTCTATTCTCTTCTATTCTATTCTATTCTATTCTCTTCTATCTCTTCTCTCCTCCCTCTCCTCTCCTCTCCTCTCCTTCCTCTCCATTCCTTCTTTCTCCTCTCCTCTCCTCTCCTCTCCTCTCCTCTATTCTCTTCTATTCTCTTCTCTTCTCTTCCTCTCTCTCTCCTCTCCTCATTCCTCTCCTTCCTTCCTTCTCTCTCTTCTCTTCTATTCTATTCTATTCTCTTCTCTTCTATTCTATTCTATTCTCTTCTCCTCTCCATTCCTCTCCATTCCTCTCCTCTCCTCTCCTCTCCTCTCCTTCTCTTCTCTTCTCTTCTATTCTCTTCTCTTCTATTCTTCTCTTCTCTTCTCTTTCTTTTCTCTCTTCCTTCTCTTCTCCTCTCCTCTCCTCTCCTTCCTTCCTCTCATTCCTCCTTCTCTTCTATTCTCTTCTATTCTCTTCTCTCTCTTCTCTTCTCTTCTCTCCTCTCCTCTCCTCTCCTCTCCTCTCCTCTCCTCTCCTCTCCTCTCCTCGAAATGTCGTCAGATGGGGGCCAAACACACTTAACAAATATCTCGCTTAATAACAGAAATGTTGGACTCAGCTGTGGTCGTAAGTTGAGGACTGCCTGTTGTTTAGAGTGTAGGTACAAAGAAAGACAACGATTGCAAAATTTAGTGCATGGTTGCTTGGTGACCCGCTTTACAACTATCATGGCTTAACCACGTTTTGGGCTCAATGACGGTCATAAATTGAGGACTCTCTCTATGTATAAAGCCCAAGCGTTATATTTGTTGATCTGTTGGTTATAAAGGATGCTTTTCCTGTTCTAGGCTTGGCTGAGGTGATGGCTGGTTTGGGAGTGGAGAAGCTGGAGAAACTTATGCCAGAAATCGTGGCTACAGCCAGCAAAGTAGACATCGCTCCCCACGTTCGCGACGGTTACATTATGATGTTCAATTACCTGCCTATTACCTTTGGGGAAAAGTTTACCCCCTACGTTGGGCCATTATACCTTGCATCCTTAAGGTAAGACCCCGGAGCAGGTCTTGAAGTAATGGAGAGAAAATCCTAAAAAAAAAGCATAGCAATTAAAGTATTGAAGCGGGCAAGAGACGATGGATAGATGATTTCTTTTTTTGTTGTTGTTCTGATTTGCTTTTCCTTTTTTCTCTCTCTCCTTTTTTTAGGTAGGTGACAGGACTAGAAGTTAGGTAGGATAGAAAGAAAACATCTTTTAATAAAGGGTGACATTAAAAGTTAGAATAAGAAATAGAAATAAGAGAAGGGGGAATATTAGTGTATACGCCTTTATATAACAAATAAGAGCAATAACAAGAGAAAACATGGAATGATCTAATAATGACCAACTGCAACTTAACATAAATGTGTATCATTATTACAAATATACAAGTTGATTGAATGTAATAACTATGATTGATTCTAGTAGTTTTATTCGTATTGGAATGTATGAGACCCAGGTGCCAGACTGTTCAATCATTGATGTGTTTGTAAAAAAAATAAAAAAAAAACTTGAAGTAAGGGAGAAAAGGATGGATTTACCTCCCCTGAAAGAGATCAGCTTGAGGTTGGGAATGGCTAGAGATGGTTTTCCTGGAACCAGATTGGTGTAGTAGTGGTTAAGGCGCCAGGCTAGAAAGTGGGAGATTGTGAGTTCTGTCTTAGCCATGAAGGCAAGCTGTAGGATTTTGGACCAATGATTAGGAGACAGGGAGTTCTAGTCACGGGTTAGGCATGAAAGCTGACTGGGTGACTTTGGACCAATGACTAGGAGACAGTTGAGTTCTAGTCCCGCATTAGGCATGAAAGCCAGCTGGGTAACTTTGGACCAATGACTAGGAGACAGTGAGTTCTAGTCCCCACCTTAGGCATGAAAGCCAGCTGGGTGACTTTGGACCAATGACTAGGAGACAGTGAGTTCTAGTCCCGCATTAGGCATGAAAGCCAGCTGGGTGACTTTGGACCAATGACTAGGAGACAGTGAGTTCTAGTCCCGCATTAGGCATGAAAGTCAGCTGGGTGACTTTGGACCAATGACTAGGAGACAGTGAGTTCTAGTCCTGCATTAGGCATGAAAGCCAGCTGGGTGACTTTGGACCAATGACTAGGAGACAGTGAGTTCTAGTCCTAGTCCCACTTAGGCATGAAAGCCAGCTGGGTGACTTTGGACCAATGACTAGAGACAGTGAGTTCTAGTCCTGCATTAGGCGTGAAAGCCAGCTGGTCTGACTCGCTGTCCAATGACTAGAGAGACAGTGAGTTCTAGTCCTACCTTAAGGCATGAAAGCCAGCTGGGTGACTTTGGACCAATGACTAAAAACAGTGAGTTCTAGTCCCGCATTAGGCATGGAAGCTGGCTGGGTGACTTTGGGCCAATCACCAGGAGATGGTGAGTTCTAGTCCCGTCTGAAGCATGAAAGTCGGCTGGGTGACTTTGGGCCAATCTCTCTCTCTCTCTCTCCCCCACCACCACCCCTCACAGGGTTGTTGTTGTTGTGGGAAAAAAATAGGAGGAGGAAAGTGTGTTGGAATATGCTCATCTTATTTGTAAAAGAAATAAAGCCCGGGAATACAAATATACAAATAAAAAACCATTTAGTCCGTTCATGTCAAAAGCCTTGCTCAAAACCGGGATTTCATCCCTCATCTGCTCGTCTAGCTGCAGCATTAGAGCAGAAAGAA